ATTTTGGAAAATAAACTTTAATGCTTAAAACGTACTGGTGTTTAAATTTATACCTCATTTACATTAATCATGACAAACAATGCAGCAGCGCTTAATTTGTATTTCACTTCACAGTGGCTTAGCTTGTTCTGAAATGGCTATAGGGCAGACCATGTATGTACATAGTATGATGTGACTTCAACAATCTGTTAGCCTTTATTTTCAAATTGCCGGATGTAAGTCATTAACTCTGTTGGATGCCAGCATTGTGTGTTATTGGACACTTCTGTACCTATCGCTACGAACCACGCTGTCCCAGCCCAAGCTGGCTTCCCAAGTCTGCTCTGACCCCCGTGAAACCGTTGCCTGATAATCTTTCAGGACTCCGCATCGAGTGGAACTGACATCACGCCCGCGTTGATTGTATTGTCAAAGTGTTTGGACTTCTTTCACTGAGCTTGTTACGTGGAAATAAAATGTGGTTGGTTTTAAAGCTGATGCTTGGTGCCACGGTTCAGTCTGTAGCGCTCAGGCCGTCCAGCTCCGCTCCAGCGTACACAGCTCCAGCCCCTCGCAGAAGGAGCGTGGCCGCCTGCCTGGCTGCTGGGGACAGGGGGGGGCTGGCACGGGAGGGACCCTCGATCCACGTTCCCCCCCCTTGGAAGGGAAAATGTGACCTCCGTGCCCCCCAGCTCGGGCCTGATGCTCACCGGTTGCTGCCTGGAGTGCTGCTGCAGGAGGGAGAAGGGCACCCAGGGGTTGGGCTCCACAGGCCAGCTGGACACCGAGACATCACTGGCTTTGCCTGAGTCGACCATGGGTTCATTCATGCTGCTGCAGCTCGTGTCCCAGCCGTACTGGGAGCTGGTGGCAAAATCCGTTGGGGATTAGAATAGGTGGGAGGGGGTCAAAGTGTGTTCCTGGCACAGCAACGCTGGGGCCCTCGGGAGAGTGATGTAGTGCTGGGCTGTTGTGCTGCAGCTGCAGCCAGCTGGGGCCGTTCTGAGAGCGGCGGTGCCAAACGGAAGGGCTTGGAATGCGGGAGGCTGTGCCCCGGTACCGGGGCAGCAGATGGGAGCTTCCCGCTCCCTTATTTCACAGTAATCCCTAGCGCTAATTACGAGCCCTCGTGGGCACGCACACAATTCCCACTGCAGCTCTGAGCCTTTCTGCACCGCTCCTTAACGGGGGAAAACCACCCCTGCGGCTCCGGGCTGCAGAAGGGCGCTGCACCGTCGGACCCGGGAGCACGCGAGGGGCTGAGCTCGACCCCGCAGCTCCCCGTGCCCGCAGCCCCGCACCTACCCGTGTCCGCGGGCGGGCGGCTCCGGGCGCTGCGCGGCGCTGAGCGGGTCCCTGCGGCAGCAGCAGCCGTCGTCCGGTAGGTGCAGGTGCAGGAGCTCCTCCGAGCGGCTGAAGGCGGGGTTGTCCAGGGAGCTGCCCGAGCCGGGCCACGAGCGCGCCCAGTGCGGGGCCGCGGCCTCGTCCGGGCGGCAGAAGCGGCGGTAGCTGCGGGCGGTGAGCGCTGCGGAGCTCCGGGGCGCCGTCCGTCCCCGGGGGCTCCCCGCCCCGCTCCCACCCGCACCCACCTGCTGCGGCCCTGCTCGGCCCGCGCCTCCCGCAGCAGCGCCCGGAACCTGCGGACCACGGCCGCCCCGACGGCGATCCCCAGAAGGACGACGCCGAGCAGAGCGCCCGCGGCCGCGCCCAGCAGCCCCGCCAGCGTCACTCGCCGCTCGCAGCGCAGCCCCACGAACCAAACGTCGCTGCCCGCGGGGCACCTGTGCGGGGATGCGGGGCGCTGAGCGGCGGCCGCGCGCGGCGTTGGGGGGTTGGGCGGGGCGGCACCCACCGGCAGAGCGGGCCGCGGCCTCGGGGGTGCGCGCACACGCCGTGGTTGCGGCAGTAGTCGCGGTGGCAGAGGGACGTGCACGTGGCGTTCCCGTCCGCCCTCACGACGCAGGCGAAGCCGTCGGGGCAGGAGAACAGCGCCGCGCAGGGCTCCGGCGCTGATAGGAGAGCGGGAGAGAGGACGGCGGCGGGGCCGTGCCGCTCCGCACCCTCCGAGAGCCGCCGGGCCCCGCGCCGCCCGCCCGCACTCACCGCGTGCCGTGTGCCGCAGGACGCGGGCGGCGCCCACCGCCGCAGCTCCGCCGGAGCGCAGCGCCGCGTCGAGGAGCGCTCCCAGCGCCGCCGCCCGCACCAGCTCAGCCGCGAACAGCGCGTCGTAGTGCAGCACCACCTGACGGGGGCTGCCCGCCCTGCGGGACACGGCACTGCGGCTGTGCCCCGCATCACCCCGAACCGTCGCGGGAACGCCGGGCACTGCGGGGCCGTCCCTACCTGACGGCGGTCACCTCGAGACGCACGAAGCCTCGCACCGCCGCCAGCCGGGCCGCCACCTGCGCGGGAGCCATGGGTGCCAATGCGGGACCGCCCCAGCGCGATGCTCCTCCCCACGGGGCGGCCCCACGCTCACCGTCCGGTTGAGGCCGCTCAGCAGCACGTGGTGCTCGTGGGACGCGGGGTCGCGCAGCGCGGGCACGAAGGCCATGTCCAGCGCCATCTCGCAGGGCACGCGCAGGAGGGACGCTGCGGGGACAGAAAGGGCTCGGCATCGCCACCGCTCCCCGTGCCGGCGGCTCCCGGGAGGGTCACCCCGCAGCCCACCTCGCAGCTGCGGCGGTTCATCCTCCACGATGAACTCCGGGGTGGCCCTGCCTGCTGTCTCTGGGTTTGGTGTCACACATGTGGGGTCAGCGTGTGGCCGCTCCGTAGGGCTGCTATGTGAAGGAGGCGGCTCTGTGCCACCGAGGGGGTCTGTGGGCTGATGGGGGGACCCTGGCACCACACTGGGCCCCCGCATCAGCTCCTCCACAGCCCCCCGACATGCAGCACTGATGGGATCCAGCGGGGCCGTCCTCTCATCCCTGAGCAGTGCGGGGCTGGTGGCAGTGGCTGTGCTGGTAGCAGTAGGTGTGCTGGTGGCAGTGCTGGTGATGCTGGTGCTAAAGGTCAGCAGAGGTGGAGATGATGTGGGTTTGGTCAGGGCTGGCTGCAGTGGAGAGCTGGGGGCCGCGGGAAGGGCTGTGCTTGGTGGTGCAGTCACTGCCCAAGGCTCAGCATCACCTGCCCACACCGGGGTCCCTCCTGGGACCTGAGGCCTCTCAGCATGTTCACGCCCTGGGGACGCTGCTGGGTGGGTGTCTGCAGTGGGGATGAGCCCCAGGGAGGGCTGTGGGCCCAGTGACTGTGGGGCTTCCCCTGGCAAGGCTGAGATATGCCAGGTCTGGTTCATGGCGACACGGTTGGACCCAGGGGGACTTTGAGTGTTTAGCAGCCCCAACACCTCCATGGTCAGGTCTGGGGCTCCCTCAGGGCCAGGAAATGTCACCCCTGGGACAGCGGCTGTGGTGCTAGGGTCAGGAGGCAGACGTGACTCCATGGGCAGTAGGGCCGTGCTGGCCCCAGGGCCCTTGGGATGCCACATCAGCCCTCCACGGTCAGCAACCCCTGGGAACAGCAGAGGGGGGCGGGAAGTGGCATGAGGACCCAGCCAGGCCATGGTTGTCCCCTGCAATGAGTGGGACTCTCCTGCTGGCCCTGTCCCTGCCAGCACCTGATGAATCCTTCCTAGTTCCCCAGGGGGGCTCTGCAGATTCTGCAGCCCCCCCACAAAAGACAGTGTCCCACTCGTCCCCGGCACAGGGCTGTCTGTTGTGAGGCCCTGGGGGGTCCCTGCTCTGATGTCACTGCGTGGGATGGTGGCACCCCTGCCCTCTGGCTCCAGGGCAGGGTGTGAGGGGCTGAGTGAGCCCTCCCAGCTCTGTGTGAGCACTGTCCTCATAGTGCTGGGGGTTCCCCACTGCCCCCTAGAGCTGCTGGGCACCATCATGTGGGACGATGAATGCGACAGGGTCCTCTGTGGGGTTGGGGAACTCTCTGCCTTCTCATTTCCTATGGGCTCAGTCTTGGGGGCAGTGCTGATGGCTGGAGCTGTGCTGAGCTCCATGGTGACTGCCGTGAGCACCCTGGCTGGGCTCTCCCCAGGGGGTGTAGGAGACGTTCCCTCTCTGCCTGCAGCTGCATCAGTGGTACCAGCAGAGGGTGAAGGCTGTGCCGCGGTGCTCACGCCATCCCGCACCGCAGGGACCGTCCCGGCCTCCCCAGGGCTGCTGCTTGTGCCGGAGGGCTCAGCAGTCCCGGGTGGGGTCCCAGGGAAGGGGAACAGCTCAGCCTCTGTTTGCAGCCACCCCGCTCCGTGTTGCGGATCTGCGGGCAGAGGCAGAGGGATGCTGAGCGGGGCGGGCGCCCTCCGGCACAGCACCAACACGCGGGCCCACCCCGCAGGCAAAAAGCCCATCCGCGGTACGGTACCTGTCCGGCAACCCTCCCCTGGGTGGGCGCAGGGGACGGCCGTGCCCCGCGTGGAGCCCATCCCGCTGCCGAGAGCGGGGCAGAGCCGCGCCCAGCACCCCACGAGAACTGCGGAAGGAACGGATCGGGCGTCAGCGCCGAGCACGGGGCTCAGCGCATCGTCCCCCCCAAAAGCCCCGGCAGGCGGCGATGGCGCGGCGGAGATACGGCCGTCCCGCACCGCGGCCTCGCGCCCCCGAAGGCTCCGCCCGCACACCGGCACGAGCCCGAGGCGCCGCCAGAAAGCAGCGCACGTGCGGGCACGGAGCCGCCCCTCCCCGGCAGAGCGGCGCGGAACAGAGCGCAGGGCTGCGCAAAGGGTGAAGCGTTTTCCAAGCTTTGCACGCGGCTCCCGCGGGGCAGCGGCGGGCGTGGGGCCCTTTGTGCCTCGGGAGTCATTTCCTGCGAAGGGAAAAGCGCGGGCATCGCTCGGCGCCCGGCTGGATCCCGCCGCCTTTGTCTCGGCGCGCGGAACGCAGCCGCTGCCGGCCCTGCGCTGCGCGGCCCCGCGGACACCGGACGGACGGGACGGAGCGCCGCTCCGAGCCGAGGAAGGAACCGCCCGGCCCGGCGCCCCTCCGAGCCCCCCGCCCCGAGACTCCGGCACGGGGACGCGCGCGAGGACGCCGCCCCTGCACGGGGGGGACGCGCATCCCCCGGGGAAAACGGGGCCGCGGCCGCCGTCCGCCCGTGCGCGGACGGAGCCGGGGGACACCGGGCGCTGCCGGGAGCCCGGACCCTCTCCCGCCGCACGTGGCTGCCCCGAGCTGAGCTCCCCGCGGACGCCGGGCCCGGCCGAGGGAAGCCGACACAGCACGGTGACGGCACCCCGGCGCCCGCCGCTCCCCGCGGCCCCTCCCGCCCTCCCGCGTCGCGGGGTCCCGGTCCCGTACGGAGCTCCCGGCGCTCACCTGCGGCGGCCACGAGCCGCGGGACCCGCTCCATGCTGCTGCTGCTGCTGCCGCCGGCGGCTCCGGAGCGCAGGAAGCCCCCGCCCGTTCCCTCCGCCGCGGGGCGGAGGCGCCCGGAGCCGCAGCCCCCGGCCCGGCCCGGCCCAGCGGGGAGCGGCGGAGCGGCAGGGCTGGGGCGGACCCGGCTGCGGGCGGAACCCGGCCCTGCGGCACCCGCGGGCGTCGAGCGGAGACTCGGAGCCGCGATCCCCCCCGGGGCTGCCCGTCCCCGCCCGCCGCATCCCTACGGAGCCCCTCGGACGCGGCTCAGCTCCCTCCTGGGGCTGGGAAGGACCGTCCCGCCGCCCTCCCGGCACGCAGCTGCAGCGCTGACCCGGCCAAGGCTCTTTCACATCGACCCCGACACGAGAGCGATGACCGCACGGGGTACCACCCCAATGAGAGCCGCCACGAGTGCTTTCTCTCGTTTCCACTGCACGGCACGTTCAGAGAATATTTCACAGTTCATTTAAGAGGAAAGAGCTGTTTCTTGCTCAATGAAAGCAAAGCCCGGGCCCTGAAGAGCAGCAGAGCACCCTCAGGCCGGGGGCACAGGGCAGACTGGAGTGAAACCTGGTTCTCCAGAGGAGGCTCTGAAAACAGCACCCACCCCACATTAAGGCTCCATGTGGAGCAGCTGGGGCTTATTTTCCACCATCCCATCACCCGGATTGCCAGAGGAAGGCACGTTATCAACTGACACTTCTTGGCTCACAGCCCAGCAGTGCCTCTTTGACATACAAAAGTGTTTCTTGGCTGAGAAGAAAAACTGTGCAGTGTCCAGAAGTAACTGTTTTTTTTTTTTCCCCCGTCTCAAGATTGAGAGACTGAAAGCAAACCTCCTGTGCTGGGATGGGCTACACTTACCAACACCCCAGTGTGGTTTTGCATTTCAGCAGCAGGCATGTCATCCCCTCCTTTAATTTCCATTCAAAAAACAGAAGCCAAAAATGAGACTCATTTTTGCCAGCATTTGTGAAATAAATAGTAAAGGCAGAAAAGAAGCATTTTAGTGGAAAGAGTAGCAGTACCAGCAGTGAGATCACAGGACTCAGCTCAGCAGCAGAGGCTGTACTGGAGCTCCCACTCAGGTATACGATTCTCTTTCAGTCTGCCACACAAGGAGCTCTCCAGGAGGTACAGCTGATTCTGCCAGCTCACAGTGCAGTGAGCCCCAGCAATGTTCCTTACCCTAAAAACCAGCCCCAGTGGGCTGCAACTGTGAAACAAAAGGCATCAACACCATCATGGTCTTATATATTTATTCCTTTTTCCCTCGTTTTCAAAGGACAACATATTCAGACAGCTTTAAATACAATGTCCAAGTACAACTTTCTGATGAAAGCAGCAGCAATGCAGCATGTGCGCTTATGCCCACTGACATCAGGGCCATCCTAGTGGTAGACATCTCCTGTTCAAAAAAAACATCCATGCATTTAGTAATTCATCAGCTGGAAGCTACCACATTAAGGAACAAAAGAGGCTGGTCTAGCAGAGACATTGTTATGGGAACTGCTGAGCCACGGCCTGAACCTCTGATTGACCACCTGAGGGGAGCCCTGAGTCAGCCAGAGGAGCACAGCTGAAGGCAATTCACCCGTGCTGCCGTGAGGGGTGGAGCCTGGCTGCACCTCTCCTAGACCTATTTAAGAGCAGGCTGCCAGTGGGCAAGGATCTCTTCTGGAGATCTGCTCTACTGGAGTTTTGTAGTGAGCTCAGGATGGGGGTAAGCTTTCTATCTATTCTCTTTTTGTTATCATAATCTGCTTTGCCAAACTCTCTTGTTTATTTTGTAATTATAGCATCTTTATATTCATTGATTATACACATGACAAGTGCTGAAGAACACCAGAGGAAGTTGCACAAGCCTTGCAAGATTATCACTTTTTTTTTTTCCCCATCCATTTTTGGCTCAGAAAGAGCAGCAAACAGGCACAGCTCCTTCACTGACCCTTTACACCTCAATCTCAGGGAAGATCGAGGCAGGGGGGAAGTGAGTAGCATGCACAAGAGCAACAAACAGGAATCTGCTTCCACGTGCTCCTGATGCACACAGCCCTAAGGCCATCGCTCACTTCCCCTGCAGCCCCCAAGTGCCTCTCAGGCTGCCGCTGGAATAACCCTTTCCTCATCGTTTCCTTTCCTGCCGCTGTCCCAGGCTGTGGCTGATGAGAAAGCAGCCGCTAGTTGCAGCTCAGAGCTGTGCTGTCACCCACCACTAGGGAGCGCTGCTCAGCACACTGCGAGCAGCTGAAGAGCTCTAAGGATGGACTCCAAGTCAGTTCACCACCTGCTAACAGAACTGTGGATTCCTGCAGCGCTTGGTGTGGCATAGAGATCCCTGCAGAGGCACGTTTATACTTACTCTGATTTGGAGGATTGCTTTTATTCATAAACATCCTTCTTATCTGCAATGTAATCTACAATCTCTTGTGGACACATTAATTTTTCTGCATCTCCATCAGGAATTTCAAAGCCTGAAAGAAAGCACATAGATTCAGCCCAAAACAATGGAAACAGGAGCAAGGCTGAAGGAAGCAATTACTGCTGGCTCAGACATCTGCAGCACAGCCAAAAGTAAATACACAGGGGCTGCTTCTCCACTGAAGTCAGAGTCAGCATCTTGTTACTACAGCGAGTAAGTAAGGTGTAGGCTGTGCGTACACCTTACATGACAGTGACTCTGGATAGGAGACAAGGCAGAAGCAGCAGGGGCTGCAGTGCCAGCCAGTGTCCCTGAGCACTGCTGAAGCCATCGGTGCCCAATCAGGGCTCCCCCAACACAGAAGAGGGAAATGTTCTGGGTAACTGCAGGCAAGCAAGAGCCAAAGCCCCTTGGGTTCAGTTTGCTGCCGAATGCTCATAGAACAAACAGAGCTGTAGCCTGGGATGGGGAGCGCGGGGCTCTCAGCAGCGGATCTGCCCTGAAACACAACCCAGAACACGGAGCTCCTCTCTGCCCGGTCCACGCGGACGCACACCAACGCCCGCGCCATTACCGAACTCGTCCTCCATGGCCATGATGATCTCCACTTGGTCCAGGCTGTCCAGCCCCAGGTCCTTCATGAAATGCGCCTCGGCCGTCAGCTGGGGGTGCACACAGGCAGTCAGCTCCCGCTCCCGGCCCCGGCCCCGCCCCCGCCCCCCCCGGCCCGGCCCCCGCTCGCCTTCTCGGGGTCGATCTTGTCGTACAGCTTCAGGACGTACAGGACGCGCTCCTTGATGTCGGCCAGCGTCAGCGGCGGCAGCTCCGAGTAGCGGCGGCACGGCACAAGACCCGCCCGCGGCGCCGTGGGGATAAAGGCGGGCTGCGGGGCCCGCGGGCGGCCGGGGCGGAGCGTGCCGAGCGCGGCGTGGGGGACGGGGAGAACGGCGGCGCCGGCACGGGGCAGCAGGCGGCGGACGCAGGCCGAGAGGACACGGGCCGCCATGGTGACCTGATCCCAGCAGCCCCCGCGCCGCGCCCGGAAGCGCGCGTGCTCGGCGCGAGAGTGACGGCGAGCGGGGGGAAAACGGCGCCCTCTGGCGGCGGGAGGCCGCGCGGCTCCCGATCCCGGTACGGCGCAGACGGACGGAGCGTCACCGAACCGAAGCACTTTAATGACTGCAACAAACGCCGCGCGCGGCCCCGAGCGAGGCGCGGTCAGGCCGCCCCGTGCCGCGCGTAGCGGTACACGCACACGCTGCCATCCGCCCGCCCCGCCAGCAGCCCTGCGTCCGCCGCGCTCCAGCGCACCAGAGTCCAGCGGCTGTCCGAGCCGGGCGGCAGCAGCGCGGTGCAGCGGCCCAGCAGCAGATCCCACACCGCGATGGCCCCCGACGTCAGCACAGCTGCAGCCGAAGCGTCCTTCACCTCCCCTTCCAAGTACCTGCGGGAGACACCTTGCGTCACCAGGCTGCAGCTTGGCTGGGAGAACGCCGGCACAGCCTTCAATGCAGAGCTATTATGCCCCTAGAAAATCTACACTAGCTCTAATACACCTAAAAAATCTGCAAGCACGTTTAAGCCGATGTAGAGAACCAGGTTATGTTAAATATTGCATCTTTAGTGCATCTGGAAGAGGCTCGTGCAATACTCCCCTGTCCTCAGAAATTGAAAGTTGTTCTGTTAGCCAGGATCTCAACCTGCTACCACTCGCGCACACAGGAAACGTGAGGGACGTAAGTGCATTGCAACAGCGCGTCTTAAATAGATTAGCCTTCAAAACGCAAGACACAGGAAGGAAAAGGTCATCAGACTGCAAACAGCTGCTTCACATAAATAAACCAGGCAAAGCGGCACTTAACATCACAAAGGCTGACACCAGTCTCATTTGCACGTATTTTCTCAGGAGGTTTTTGACTAAGGGGTTGGTCTGATGAATCCAGCTACAGCATTTCCATAATCACTTTGACTGGAGGGGGGGGAAGGGAAAGGAAGCTTACAGCGTGGCTCTGGCGAGCAGAGCCCTCCTGCTGAGCCATGACGCAGGGAGCTCAGAGGTTAACTCCCAGATTCGTGCAGGAAGCAGGCAGGAAAAAGCCAACACCCTCGCTGCATTATAACAAATGCACAACGCGAGTGGAAGTGATGGATGGCAGCCCTCTTATCATCGGAAAGATGGTGAATGGCTCACTGCCAGCACTGCTGCTCAGCTCGTTAACTGAGTCTCCTCCAAAACCACCTCAAAGGTGCCACGAAGACAGCAGGCAGCATCCCCAAGGTACTTGCCTTCCAGTGTGTCCAGGTGGGAGGGAGGAAAACATCACCCCGGTGCTTCTGGCTGTTTTCGGGTTGAAGGCGATCACACGGAACGCGGGGTTTCCACAGGACTCGCTCTCTTTGGCATGGGGATGACTTAAAACAACAAACAGGAGGCCCTGGTACACAGAGGAAAAATACATCACTAAAAATAACAGTAAGAGAGGAAAAAATTCCGAGGAATTTTCCGATAATTAATTGCTTCATTCTCTATCATCAAAGCCCCACGGACAGTGATGCATTGTTTTTACTGAATAAAATACAAGTGGTTTTCTTATCAAATTAGTTAGAAAGCAAAGCAGCTGCTGACTGATAAGGGCTGATGTAATGCTCAGTGACCCCATGGACTTACATGCTTACCTTTCTGCTTGTAAAAGCTAAACTTGCTGTAGGACCAGGGGACACTGAAAGTAAAATTTCTGGGCCTTAGTTTAATCCTTAGGAAATTATTAATTTAACAAAAGTTCCTTGTAAACCAGCACAGCAGCTCTCAGAACAGCCACAGATAAGTATGAAATATGATGGGATAGATATTCACAAGAAGTCTGCAAAGAGTCTGACTCAAACCACTGTTATTAGACAAGACATTCTTGTCCCAAAATAATACATGCTTACTAAGAGCAATCAAATCCTTGACAACCATAAAATCCAGCCAGATCACAACACAGGTAGAAGCAAGTGGCAAAGAATCACGTGTGTGAAGCCTGGCTTTGAAGTTTATATCCTCAGGGATATTATGTAAATAATAGCCACTCAAATAGGTTGTCTGATGATGGCAATGTGCCTCATCATGCTAGCACCTGCCTGCACAATGAAAGAGACTAATGAGGCACTGGCATTGGGCAACAGTACTACTGCTCCCCACTTAGCAGCTTACCTGGCCAAAGCTTTGGAATGCACTTTGAAGCACCACTTACTAATCAGCATAATACAGAAGGCCAATAATTTGAAGAAGACAGTGTGGCTTATTTGTTCTAGTTAACCTGTTTTCTTCTGAAATATCTTCAGTGATTCTAAATAGAGATGATGTTTCAATCCACTCCTTCAAGTTCCCACCACAATGCAATCCATGCATAAACTGAGTGCCATACTGACATACGTACAGAGTCAGAATATGCTCGATGGCAGATTGAGGCTGGGTAGGAATAGCCAATGTGCATCTTCTTCAGGAGTTGGCCTGTTTTCAAATTCCTGCGTTGGTGAAAAGACAAATTCTGACTGCATTTCCATCCTCATTCTGGTTTCCCAATCACAATTGTACCACTACACAAGACAGTTTTGATTTCATAGGAAGCAAACTGAAACATGACAAGAGGAAGAGATGTACTGAATATGACACAAATGGAATTACAGCAGCACAGTTCATTCACTACCTCCCTAGCTGCACAGAATTTAAAGGGCCAGACCAGGCCCTTTGATAATTATTATCTCACAGGCAAATCAGCAGCCAGCTGACACGCCTTCATGATGCCTGCAGATGTCAGAGCCACCACTTACACCCAAAGCCATTTAATTGCAAAGGAAACACTGACCAAACTGCAACACTGTTTACTGCAGTGGTGCCAACCAAGGCGTCTCTCACTCCTTCTACTTCAGCAAAAGCCAGAACAGTTTCCTCGGGAGGCATCAAAGTCTGTCTGTCCTTGCACCTGAATAGCAGATGCAAACAAGTGAGAAAAGGCAGTCAGAACAGTAATTGTGTTCTGTACTCAGCACACTTCCAAAAAGAAGAGAAACCCCACGCTTTTCTACATCCCTTACTTTTGTACCTGCCATACCAAGACCACCCCAAAACTAAAAGACTCACCTTCCTGACTCTGAAAGTGATACGATTTCCACTTGCTGCTCTTGCATGGCTCTGCTGCTGCTGACCAGCCTTCCATCCTTTAGCCCAAGAACAGCTTTTATATTCCCACTTTTCACTAGTGATTGCTTGAATGTGTCATTCTCAGAAGAATAAAGCAAGAGCCTAAATTAGGAGAAAATTATGCTTAACAACAGAAGGAAGCATAATTCAAATACACCTCAGCATATTAAAGAAATCCATTTAAACAGCCTATCACCTCCAGGGTGAATAAGCAAATCTTTATAATTGATTTTTAGAAATTCCTTCTATATTTTCCAACAATAAAAGTGACTGAAAAAGTCACACATTAGTAAGAGTCAATTTCAGCTACTACACAAGAGGAGAGTAAAGCTGCAACTATTTGGGGAGCAAAACGTTAGGAAGAAATAAATACAGTACCTTATTTCTCCAATCTCCAAATTTCCCAATGCTATACACACAAGGTTACAGGTGTCTGGCAGAGGAATGATCTGTATTACAGGAATCTAGGACAGCACAGCAAGAATTCCACGTTACCCACAATGTCCCTCTTCCTTTGACTACATTCCCATTTTCTAGAGTGTTTCAAGCAAAACTACATGGGGCAGAACTAATTTTCAGACCCCTCTGAAGAAACACACTTAGTTGAACAGCTGATTTCTTTGCTGCTCATCTAAGTAAGCAATCCCTACTGACATGACACAAAAGGTGTCTCCAGGGATCTACAAGGAAGAGCACAGAGCAGCCACCATTCATTCAGTACATGAAGTCAAGTTCCAGCAGACAGCATGGAACCATACAGAACACTGCCCTTCCTCATCACCAGTGGATGTCATTCTGTTGCCTGATGCAGTGAAAAACACCATCCAAAGAACAAATCTTGCACCCAAGACTTCAAGCTCTTTGTTTCTTTGGAATTAACACAGTGATACAAGAAAGCTGTTTGAGTTCTAGAAATAAAGACTGTGCCCGTACCTCTCCAAGTTGCCAAGTATAGACCTTCTCCCAGCAATCAAATGCCTGAGGTTTCCACAGGGAAACTGAACTCTCACAGGCAGTCACCACACACAGCTCTCTGCAGCCAGCTGCTTCCCACCACACGCTGCTCACATCCACAGCACAAGAACTTGAAGAATCCTGTCCAAAACAAAACAGTGCTGGTTTTCTTCTGATGCCTACGATAGCATGGAGGCTCAGATCGAGAAAAACACTTCTTGAGACTGAGCACAGTGACAACTTGAGGCTAAAATTGAATGTTCAAGATGTTCATATTCAAGTGCCAGTGAGGCACCACTGAAAACAAACCTGGTGGATTGTGCCCTGAGCAGGGAGCAGTCAGCTCATCTAACAAAAATCACTTGTCATTTAAACCAACAAGGACCCCACTGAGCCCAGAGCTGGAGCAGAGCTGGATGTATCACATTAGTCAGAAACAAACTCTGAAATTCTTTCTCAGTCAAAATGACATATTTAGGAATTATTTAGCATGCTTTGTACATAAGACAGAACTGATTGAATTAGGCAATGTGCTTTTTGTTGGTTTCTTTTTTTTCCCTCCAACTTGTCACCTTGCATTTTATTGCATTTTTTGTTAAACTTATTAAAGAGCTGTTAGACAATTGTCTGATGTTATCCTACCTTTAGCTTTGAAACAAACTGCAAGTTCTCTTCTCTCAAGCCATCAAGCAGCACTGGAGTCAACTGTTCTGCTTCAGTTTTTTTCTGCACAAACAAGTAAAGAATCAGAATAATTTAGCTTCAAAATTAGACTCAGCACCTGCAAGAATGAGGCAGAACTGTGAATTCGCTTTGTATGCACTGGAGATAGCAGCTGCAATAGAAGCATCTCTTTCTGCTCTTGCATGCCTCTGAAAAATATGAGAGC